TGTCGTCCACCTGCTTGCACGTTGCAATCGCGTTCGGCCATTACAAAATGTGTAGTTAGCTGCTTCGGTAGAAGGTAGGCTTGGTACAGTACCAATTGACAACATTTCGTCACATATTGCCGAATTACTGGTAAAGCCAATGCTACAAATTTATTTAAAGAAAGACGAAACACAAGGTCAGCATAAAGGATGCTTTTGGCAGACTGAGACAAAAAGTTCGTCAATTAACCTGCAATTGTTAAGCCACTTTACATCTGCGACAAGGTCATGACGTGTGAAAGAAGTGGTAAACTGTAAGTTATAATGTTGGGTAGATATATGTATATATATGTAAAATATGCATATTTATCAAGTGAGAGGTCATGGCAAGTCCACGATAATGGGCTCCCCTCGTTGCACGAACACTGCTTACATGTGGTGAAATGAATATCAAGTGTACATGCCCCTTTGCTTTGCACAAGTTTTCTAAAATCCCTAAAATGGCCTGGTTTCGGTTAATGAATGCCTCCACGTTAGCTGCAACGCCTTGTAACTAAAGTGTCTCTTTTAAGCATTGCCACACTTTTTGGTACGCACAGTGCCCCGTGTAATTGCGGTCCCTCTATTTACGTACCTGAGATAGCCACGATAAGTTTTCAAACCTCATCTTTGAACGAATTCCCATATTCCCGTTTGTAGCATGCCTAGCCCATACAGACCGTAACTAACTATTCGTTTCGTGGTCTGGAGTATGTCTACTTATTTGATGGAGATAACTGCCATTTCTGAGTTTACATAGCCAGAATTTCGGGTATCGAGATAATTCTCATGCGATGGGACGTAGATGCATCTTGTCGGGGTTGCAAGGTTATTGGCACAAAGACTACTTACAGAAAGTGAATGTGCTTGAAGGGACTGAAAAGTTAATTAAGTCCAGTATCATCAGTAGGAGTACTTGACTATAGATATGAAAGGCAACCGCTGTTTGATCGCGAGGCCTTTAGCACAAAGGTGCCGTCATGTGTTGAATTGGAAGTTGGTCATCATGGATACGTCCCTTTTTATCTTGCAAGGAATAGTTTTTGCTGGAAAATTCACCCAGCCATTACTATCTGTTGGTTGTTCAGTGTGTAAGGCAGCTTGTGTCCTCAGCACCTGCTGACGAGGTCAGTGTGTCACGTGCAAAACAACGTAAGTGCATAGAGGAAGGCAGTCGCACCTTCTACGGTTTAAGTCACCTCAGCCTAGTGACGTCTACATAAGTGTGCGTACAAATAATCCGTTCTTAGGTTTTAACAGAGTTTGTTGTTCTTTGAAATATCAATATCTGAAGCGCAAATGTTCGACCCTTAGCTTTGAAGAGAAGGAATACGCATAAATGAGTACCTGATCCATTCGTTTCGGTGACGCGAAGCGGGAAATCCCGCCTCAATTCTCTTTCTTTGAGATTTTATGTTCTGCAAACTGTAGGATGAACCAAATGAAAATTTGTTTTCTTACCTTTTAGGGTTGGCGGAGGCCATGTATGGAGTTCTGCAAGAAATCATAGTGGGTGTGTGCCCCTGTTCTAAGGAAGGTAAAGAAGTGTCTAGATTGATGCCATGGGGTTTTCTGCTATATTTAGTGACTTAATGCACAGTCATTACAAAACCCTTTATGAACTCCTGAAATTGTATGTGGGAATGCTGATGTTACTGCGACTCAGAACATGAATTGGTTGACGCTAAATAAACGTTTCCAGCATATTACTTTCCATTTTCTGGTTGTGTTTGATGGCAAGCTTCCATTCACGAGGCGGATGGATGAAATCAAAGCGAAACTTAGTACACAGGCGCATGGAGTCAAGTTGCCACGCTTCACGGTAATGTACAAAGAACGAGTAGGTGGGGAGGACTGTGATCAAACTAGACAGAGGTGTGTGCTGTTAAGAGCCATGTCATTAACTCCCGATTACCACTGTCATAGGGACCCCAACCAGGTAGTTCATATCTCTCCATATGGCCAGGGCAAACGGTCATAAACTTCATGCTCTTATGGCGTCTTGGTTTGGCTAGCATAAAATTTTTCTAAAACCCGCACAACATCTTCCGTTCTCTCTTGTCGTTTTCACACGGACGAAACGCGCCGGCCATGCTCCAAGTTATCGGTCACCAGCAACTGAAAAGGTGGGTACCTGTGGAATGCATATTTGTCCATGTGACATAAAGTTACTTTCCCATGTTCGTATTGTAATACCAGTAGCGCCACAATACCGGTGGTACAGAGACACTTGCGAACGCAGGAAGGAATAAATGCCGTCCATCCGGCCAGAATGCAGGTCGCGATATTCTTGCAATTCTAGAAACCCCGTTAGCCCCGCGAAGACAACCAAAGATGGCGTTAAGCCTACAACACATTACAATACCAACTATAACCTACCTGGAACCACTGGGGTTCTTGAATTGTGAACATCACGAGAAGTGACGACCTTTTGAAGTCCGTCTTCTGCATAACTAATTACTTCATCCACCTCGTCTGAGCGTTGGATCAAAGGATGCACATTTTCCTTCTCTTCACCACCCAGCCACCTGAAATATGGATCACTCTCGATGAATTTCAGGCCAAACTTGTGATCATGTGCAGTGTTAACTTCAGTCAGAACGAATTCAACTCCATTGTAATGGAAACAAAAACTAGACTGAAAACCCGTTTGCTTAAAACTACGAAAGTGAGATCGTGAACCCAGACTCCTGGATTCACTTTTACATCCATACTCCTAACGGCAAACAACAAAGTAATGTCGCAGATGCAGCGATAAATGAAGTTAGTGGTGTTGATATCATCAAGCCTAGATATGAGACGTTCACGACAAAATACCAAGACCGAGAGAATACAAAATCACCATTATCGACTACTTAGTAAATTCCTCCTATCCAACGAATCTCATCAATTCGTTGACGGCCAAACCACAAACGGTAATGCCATGTACAAAGGTACTACTGGTACCTAGACTCAAGGGAGACTAACAGCAATGACATAAGTATTCAATGCCGAAAAATAAACGCACTAGTTAAGTTAAAATCTAATTTCTTTGAAAAAAAAATGACCAACAGTGAACAGGAAGCGGAGTGCGATACGATATGCTACAGTGAACTCATTAGATGCTCAAATGTAACCTACTTCTTTTCACAACCTAACTGATCTCACGACTTAACACCTATTTCCCCAAAATCGTCCCTCAAAGTAATCTCTCTACTCCGAAAAGATATAAAAACTGTCTGTCGGTGCATTTTCATAGCATGCAACTCTTTATTATTTGCCCTTTGTCATCAGTACTTACACCTAAGTACTCTGCACCAACATAGTTTCGGTAGACCCGATATAGTAGTACTCAACAGGCAACACCATGATCATCCCCCTCGTGACCAGATAAAGGGTGGTGGTCCTAAGAACAAAAAAACCCACGAATTTCACCTAAATGTTTATAACTTCATCATACGCTTGTACATAGGTATATAACAAGTTAATACGTGGTCAAATATCCTCTAATCTTTCTATTTCGCAGTGATATCTTCAGCTTCAGACTGACTTTCACTACTGTCGTGCGCACCTTCATCTTCTTCCACCTAAGCTTACCTCTAAACAGTCGGTTCTGGACACTTCCTCAAGTAAGTTTAACAGTCAGTACAAACTCACCCAGATATATCATAGTTGATCTACTCCTGCGTATTTTTGTACTCCTGTTACAGATTTCGCCTGCTGCTCGCTTTTGTTATTCACTTTTCAGATTTACTTAACCAGTCCTGCATTCAAATGAAATCTTACAAATCGCATTCGTCAGTCGGAAATATTGCCATCAAAACGTTATGACGAACGCGCCCACCTCAAGGTCATGACTGTGATGCGGCCTCACCTTCTAGAATATTGGATGACTCAAACGATGACCGGATAATCTTCAAATTTGAACTGAGCCTGCTTCAACAAACCTCCTATATGCCATAAATCACAGCATCTAATGTATAGCATAACATTGTACATAATAGTCATCTCTCACTACCAAAGTGATCAAACCTGTAAACTGGTTTGTATTCATGCAACCTTTGTTGCATGAAATATATTATTATTATTAAATGGTGCAGTTTGCACTGTAACTATGTGGTGTGTTCACACTCACTGGGACTGAGACGTCGCTATCCCCTGACCCTCAAGTTTCAGTGTGTGAGCAATAAGGCTTTATGCGACTGTACACAAAGTGTACAACGTTTCCCAGAACTTCACAATCTTCCATGAAAATGCAGTGGATCGTCATACACTTCTCCAGAATCAATAGCCTGGGGTTTGACGAGATTCAACACTGATGCTGACCTTGATAGTTTCACCGGACTCGCTAAGCTGAAGGCATCCGGCTAAGCATCCTCGCCATTTGTCACTCTGTCGTGCTACGTTGCAATGCTTGCAATCAACTTTCTAGACATGTAGTTGAGACGCATCGGTATCTTGGCGCGACTTCGCAAATATACTATTCCATCCGACTACGCTATTGTGTTCTTTCTTGGCCTCGTACCCGTGGGTATACAACAAGTTCAAATAACTAGTGATTGGCCTCTGCGTCTGTCAAGTTTGCACCAGGAAAATTCCTAAAACATCAAGCCATCTACAACTCCGACTCGCAGCAAACATTGGCGACTCGACAAGAAGCAGCATTTATGGTTTGAAGACACACTGCAAGCTATTTCATCTGTTACTTGAGAAAACGTTTTTTAGCATGGAAAAGCTTACAGCAAAACAACCACTAGGCACAAAAATGGAGTAACACTATAACCACATCACGAAAAGTCACAAAAACTAGAATTACACACCACGTACGTCACATTCAGAGGAAGTAGACTAATTCTGTATATGTAACATAAAAAGTATGCTTGATGTTTCTAGGAAGAACAAATATCCGCAAAAATACTAAAAACTAACGTAAAACTGGAAGATAAAGGAATATGACGAGCTCACCTGCGGCAAATGACCTTCAGATTGACCTCAGATTGACCAATGACATTTGTATCCAAGGCGGGGAGCACAAACTTAATAATGGTTGACGATTAAAGTCGGCATTTGCGTGGTTCGTACATCTATAGTCTGTTATTAGTTAGTGTACTGTCTAATAGAATTTCATTTTTGGCGTTTTAGCCTTCCTAAGCCATATTCCAGACATTGATGGTACCCATACATCTTACAAAGTTCATTCAATTTTGTTTGAGCATACCTTGACAGCAAAAGAGCACATGTATCTAATCTACACTTGCAGACAGTTTATCTGTGGCCCTGAAGTTATGATAATGCAAGATGGAAATTACATAGTATTCTGATGTGTGCTAGTAAAACTAAGAAGCCAGCTGCTGAAGATCTGTAAATTAAAAATAACTCCAACATGGAACAAAATGGAATAAACTCACTTATTAGTCGCTATATTGATTCAGTACAAGTTCTCCCTCTAGAAATGCAGTCCAGGATCACCGAGTACTTACAGTCAGATCTTCAACAACGCCACTTATTAACACTCGCCAAGCGCACAGTGGAGGATTTAAAAACAGCTGCGGATGACGATGCCAAAAAGAAACACCTAAGACAGCTTATTTATGTCTTAGTTGCTATTCAAAATATATGTGATCGTAGGATAAGTAATCTGGATGAGGTGAGTCTTGACTGTTTTGAGACAAGGTGGTCGGTGGTTGAGGCTTTTATTTTTTTCGAAATTTAATAATATGGTTGCGGACTTCCAGCTAAGGACTTTGTGCATAGGTTTTTTGTTGCGCCTGACCGCTGTTCTATGGCGTTTCTGAGAGCTGTCAGTAGAGTTCACTCTAGCAAGTGATCTTGTCAATGAATGGTTCCATTAAATCGTAGTAGTACTCGTCGGCTGGATACTCTACATACTTGATTACATATACCATCAAGCAGTGACGGACAGAAAAAAAGTAGAACCTTGCACACAAGTGCATCAGCTCAAGTTGCCACACTCCACTGTTGTATACAAAGAGCAGGTGGAAAGAGGAGTGAAACCAAAGTAGGTAAAGTAGTGCTAGAGAATAAACACTTTGAAGATGACTTTTAATCTAAATATTCAAGCTTTAGAAAATATCAAGGGGTAAATACATCTGCGCAACTCTGACCGGTTCCCATCCCTGTCATCAAGAGTCCTCAGGCACTGATTCCTTTCGTCTCGGGGACTCTAACCAGGCAGTCTCGGACCAACAGTCAGACTTCATCAACTGGTGTCTCGTGTTAGTCTGACCACGCTGAACCTTCTTCCAACCTAATGCAACTTCCCGTAGCAAGTCACTCTGAGGTAGGCGGTGGCTCGACATACACAGCCTGTCCTAGCCATCTCATTCGACTAAGGTTCACGATCCCCTTAAATTGACTTGCCTAATGGCATGATGATTCCACCTCACGTAAACGATGCTAAGAAGACGCCTATGGTCAAAAACTTGTAATCGCGTCACATCTAACGGCTATGTCCCATAGCTGTATAACAGGACAGAACGGACTGCAGTTCACTATACTCTTCGTTGGCTAGGTAGTCGAGTATCTCGCCGTCACACAAAGTAGCTCAGTCGTTATGCGGAATTCTCCAATCATTACGCTTATGTCTGAGAAACACACTGCTCCTGACACCTAATTCATTCGAAACACCGCAGACTTCAGTTGTGCTGGTAAGCATCTTGTTTCATTATATGGTGTCTCTGTCCTCAAATGTACCGCGCACTCATCACTTCTTTGTGCAGTGTAGCGTTTTATAGGTTGTACTCAGTTCCCCTTTTCTTTATTCATCCCTGCACTGCACTGGTTCATCTTCTGCTCCACCATTTTGCTCTCCTCTATCAGCTTCTATGTATCTGTGGAGATCCACTCTTTGTCTTGTTTCTTCTTCCATCCTGGCATAGTTATGCGGGTTTCCTTCCACATTGCTTTCACATAGTTCTACTGTTCTTCCATGCAGGTTTCTTCGGGGGTGTTGCCTAATGTCTGCCATTTTTTCCTGATGACTGACTGACTGACTGACGTGAAGATGTCCTTTGTAGTTTCGTCCAGTTTCTGTTCTGGGCGTTTAACTTGAACTGTGGTCTGTCACCACCTCCTTGTGTGAAGGCTTTCAACCTGATTTTGGAGGTAGGTTCCTTGCACTAGATAGTGAGTGTTGTGAACCTTCATCTGCCCCTCTTCTTGATCTTGTGTCCAGTAGGCTGCGCCTCCATTTTCTTCAGATTGAAATGAGTTGGATCTGATTTTAGTATGTCCATCTGGTGGGATCTATGTCACTTTGTGAATGTCCTTGTGTTTGTACACACTACTTCCAATCACCAAATCATTAAAGGTGCAGAATTCTGTAAACAGCCCTGCATTCCCATTGATCATTTCACGGAGCGCCTCTCGGGCCGTGATCAGTTGTTTTCCTGTGTTATCTGCTCCCAGTTTGGCATTCATGTCACCCCACCCATTAGAATTTTGATGTCGCCATCTGGGGTGGGGTCTTGTCTATTACTGATTGCAGTTGCCTGTAGAGTTCCTCCTTCTTCTCTTCGTCTGCATTATTTGTAGGTGCGTAGCGTAGCATTGTATGATTGTGACTTTCTTTCCGTTTGATTTGATTTTGGAGGAGATTGGTTCCCACTGCATGAGAGTCTTTGATACTGTTGGAGACATCATGATAGCCACTCCCTAAGTGTGCTCGTGGTTATCGTCTGGGTGACAATACCGGAGTAGACTATTGACTCTCCAGTTGACAGTTTGGAAAGTCCGCCTCCATTCCATCTGCTCTCGCAGATTCCTGGTACTTCTATGCCATATCCCCTCATTTCTTTTGCAATCTGGGCAGCCTTGTCAGTTTCAAACTTTGTGCGGACATTCCATATCTCCATGTTTACTTTTGCTTTCATCGAGAGAAGAGGAAACACATTGGCGAATTGGCTTCCCGAAGGCTTCCACCAACAGGCGTCATTTCGTTTGCCCGATTCCAGCGAAGGATGAGTTTATTTTTCATATTTTCCTTGTGCTTTGAAGTTTCTGTAACGATTGTGTTGATTTCTGGGGTAGTGTCGTTACCCCCACGCCTAATCTTTCCTCTTTTTCCGGGTTTAGCACCGGTTAGTAACTAGTGAACTAGTAAACCGGACGAGGTTTTACATATTCTTTAGGATTTACAATTATACATATCATCAAGTATATAGTATATCCAGCCGAGTACTACTGAAATTTATGAATTACTTAAATCCTCCTGTTTTTTTTTACTTATTTCAAATTCGTGTTGGGACACGAATTTTCCAGATAGTTCTGATTGTTTTGAATCAGTTGGTATATATGTCATTTAGAAGTTACTGCTTTCGAGTATGCTGAAACAGACTGCTCCTCTAGAAGTTAGCTAATATCAGAAAATTCCGACGACAGTTTTTAATGAGAAATACACAGTACTTATTCTCTCTGAAAAAAGCATTCAACCTAGTTTTTGATATGACGGATTCACTCATTAGTGCGTTGTTGCTTCGTTAATGATGTGCACTCGCTTTATGTTTAAATATAGAGAGCAAATGGTTTAATTGCATATACTTCTGCTTTTACGTTTGATTTAATGGTGACTGAACGAACACTAAGGAAACACGCTAGAGATTAGAGATGCTCGCTTATCATTCAAATAGGGGCATTCAGAGCATCATCGGGTTGCTTGTGAGCATGTCACTAGTTAAGTTTGCAATGTGTAATGTGAGATTCAAGTAAAAGGTAACCAATTTAGGTGTAGGCTTTAAGTTGTGGAATGCAGACTCGTTAATCTGCTGGTATGAACATGTTAAATTTAAGAACCTTTTATTTCCAGTTTTCACCCTAAAGTGTTTAGTGTGTTATTAAGTCAGCATCAACGTGGAACAAGGCATTACTACGTAAGAGTTCCAGTGACCATACTTCATTTCCGCACATCTCAGCAGAGGCGTTGTAGGAGAAAGTAGTCAAAAGTGTTAGTCGTAGAAAGGGGACATCATCATCGTCATCATTAATATTAACATAAAACCAAACATTACTGCGCAACAACCCAAATTGCCACAACTCATCAACACCAAGCAACAAAGCGATGAGATGAAAGATAGAGAAATATGGAAGAATCGGTGGAAAGTAGTGAAAGAGGGGAAGGAGGAATGAGAAAACACTGCAATCAGTATGATGATTAAGATGAATGTGTGTGGATACGTCTGTGCCACTGACATCCATCCTATGTCACTTAGAATACCCAACTACTAGTTTCTGTTGTCACCGTCTGCCTCATCGCAAAATGTTAGCTGAACTAGTTTTAGGCTGGAAAAAGGCTCCGGGTGACCAGACTGAAACATGGTATTAGTTCATGAAGTCTGTGGTTGTTGGTTTGAACCATGTTGGGAAATGCATACAAGCCAATCGGGGTCCACGTGATAACAGAAGTCAGTGGTTGGAGACTAAGTAAGATGGATCAGTATCGATGTCAGTGGCACAGATAAAACCACATTACCTTAATCTAAACCTCTGTGTTGAATTTTGCATTTTCTCATTCCTCCGTCCTCTCTTATTCTACTTTCTACTGCTTTTGACCGATTATTCTTTATTTGGAAATCTTTTATCTTAGTGTTGTGTTACTTTGTGTGCTGATATGAGATGTGGCAACTTGGACTGTTGTTCAGTAGTGCTCGGTCCTATATTATTATTGATTGTTGTTGCGTTGACCCAACTGGGAAGTCTACTTCATACATGGCTCAAACCAATTGTCAGACTTCATAAACTGACGCCATGTTTTAGTCTATCTGGCCTGATTGACTGAAAAAATCAGCGTAGAACCTCACACACTAGTGCATTGGCTCAAGTTGCTACACTTCACAGAAGTACACAAATGAACTGGTGGATAAAGAAGGAGTAATATTCAAGTAGATAAAATTGTAAGATAATAAACACCATGAAGATAAAAGTTAGTGAAAATATTCAGGCTTTAGAAGGTATCATGGATTGATAACATCTACGCCATTGTGACCAATTTCCACCCATGTCACCAAGATTCCTCCACCACTGATTCGAAGCCATCTCAGTCGACTAAGGTTCACAACCTCATCAATCGACTTGCCTTTCTTGCGTAGTACTTTTCGTCTGACCTCAACATTGCTCACACTGTGATTCCACCACACGTGAGCAATGCTATGAAGACTCCCACGATGGCCTGAGCCTTTTCGAAGCCCAAACCTATGTCACGTAACATTGTGCGACGAGGTAAACGGTGACTAGACATACGTAACATATGTCCCACGCATCCCAGTCGATGAATAGTCCACAGGCGCGTCAACTGAATTTCTTATCCTCCTTAGAACTCTACGCCTTACTTCTGTAGCAATACTGATATGGTAACACCACGGCACCTGGCCTGTGCTACAGAGGGAGCGTTGACCTGAAGCCTTCCCATGTCCTCTACTTCGAATGCCCATGTTTCAGATCCATACAGAGCGAACTGCATCGCAGTATACAAGATCCTAAATAGGAAATTGAATACGGCGGCGGCGCCATAAGTGGCGTAAGTTGGAGAAAGCCTTTTGTATCAGTGCAACGATTTCGTCACCCATTGAGCCTTTAAAACTGATCCGAGTTCTCGGGTAATCGAAATATTCGACGCGCTCAACTACTTCACTCCCCATTGTTCGGCAGGGAACCACTTAATATCAGTCCTGATGTACTAATTTGCATTCACGTGGAGAGAAACGCTTCCCAATCATTCTTAAATTGCCACTTAAGGTGTCCAGAAGACTGCATCTGGGTAGAGTTTTCACCTAACAGGGCTATATCATCTGCGTACTCTAGATCTACCATAGAGTCCCCTGTTATTAGATCAATTTCTGTCAAATCGGATGACTAGAGGGAGGCCTACGTAAGTGCGTCTATGATAAAGTTGAATGAGTAGAGAGTGGACATCCTTGATAGACAGTACTTGGCGTACAGAACTGATCATGGTCTTTAACCCGCCCTTGGGTGTTTGAGTATAGAGCCTTCAAGAGTGTGATGCACTTACTAGGTAACCCTTTCAGTGAGAGAGAGAGACTGTCATAAGACCTCTCAATCGACGGTTGATTATCTCCTCCAGACCGAAAATACGATGTGTCTGTGTTCCGGAACCTGGCGAAGTGTGAGTATGTAGTCAATAAACCCATAGCCAGGTTGAAAGCCTGCCTGGTTCCCTCCCGTTTGCTGTTCCTGAGCTCCACTTAGACATCTAATGTTTATAGAACCTAGAATTCTTAAACACCATGTCCGTCAGGCTGATTCCCTGTGGTGATCGCAAGATTTGGCCCTTCTTGAGAAATGCGACAATTAATGATTGAAACAAGTCAGAGAGGGTCATACCTGATTCTTATGCACCAGCTAACACTTCAGTTAGCTTAACTGATAGTCGATTACCACTGTCTTCAAATACCTCTGGTAATCGTTTGCCTGGCCCTGCTGTCCTTCCTTGTTCCAAATTACTCAGCTTTCTCGGCTTCTGCGACCGTTGGAAGCCGCATCTCAATGTTCAATTCTGGATCCGATCAGGTAGCTGGCAACGGATTATTAGTTGGAGGTCAGTTAAATCGTTTCTCGAAAGGTTCAGCCAGTCATCTTCCTTAAGAGTGAATCCTAGACCCATCCTTTGCTATTGTCTCACCAACCATTGGTCTTTTTGCCACTTATTTAGTCTAAAGAGTTATCTTCTGTTACCTATCTCCGCTGCTTTTTCCATCCATTTGGCCTTCGCTACCCGTCACTACTTACGGTCATTGTGTAGACATTTTGTAAGTCTTCATATGAATTGCTTCCGCTACTCGGAGCCTGGAGTAATGCATTGGCGTGCTTTCACCAATTTTGAAGCTGCTGCTGAGATCCACTGGTCCTTTTCATCCACTCACTGAGAGTCAATTATGGTTTTCATCGCTGTTTTTATAGCAGACTGAAGATGGCGCCAGGCTTCTGGACTAGTGTCGTTTTCTTGTTCTGATAACTCGCGACTGGTACCTTGACATGGTGGTTCACTTTGCCCATCACAATAACGCATCAAGCTACATTTTCTGAAACGTTTGTTTCCCCAAGTTCCTACCCTACCAAAAAATTAGTTGCATAGTTTCGCGACGAAAAGCAGTTAGCGTTATAGTGTAAATCACTATACGATGACCTTTTGGTTGATATTCATCTCTCTAAACCACCGAGCTACAGCTTCACAATATTATGAGAAATTAAGAGCATACGAGATGAAGTGAATCCACTTCATCCTAATACATTTGTTTTTCTTGCTTTACAAGAGGTATATCGTGATGACCCATCGACACAAGCCCTCGATTTTTAACCAGTTTCAACTCCATTCTTGAAATTTGCACTGATAAGTATTATTATGAGGCTTAATAAACTGCTTACGGCTTAATGCGGAAGTCAGTTCATAGCTTTTTACTTGCATTGAATTGGTCGGCTGTAATTGTTTCAATGCTATAATAATCTGTGCATACTCTACTTCTTAATCAGACTATACAAATATTACTTATGTTTATTATTACAGAAGTACAAACGGCTTACCACTAATTCTTTTATATAAAAGAGAGTAATCGTTCCACATTCATCATTTTGTTCCATATATTTGTTGATTCTTTTATTCACTATATCTTGCATACGAAAACGCATTGTTGGATAGTGCTTATCAAAAAATTTAAGGTCTTCAAAGATCTCAGACGACTGTAGCTTCAAATATTCTGATTTAAAATTATTATTTAATTATCCACTTCATATGTCAGTCATTCATCCGTCATTATCAGCATAGGACGTGGCATTACTAAGTAACGGTCTAAGTTTTCAACCTCATAGTAGTAGTAATATAGTAATATAAGGTACTTCATTCGGTACAGGTTTATCTACTAGGCTGTGTGGCACACTTATTGTGCTAGTGTAGCGAGCGTTGCTGATAAGAATGGATATAAGTAGTATGTGTTGAGAGGATGGCGGAAATCATAGGGAATTACCAGCAATGGGTAAGGATTCCGCCAAGAGAAACACAAGAGACAAGGCAGGCGTATGAAGTGCGAATCAAAAAAGAAGCAGAAGAGGAAATGAAGCATATTTTGCAAATGACGGCCTTAGTGCAAGGTGTTTCATATTTAACGACTACTGTCCCACTTGTTGACAATAAACATTCCTTCCTGCATACCAGTCTTTTGCTTCTTTCACTAGGTTTAATGATGTTGCGGATGCTTAGGTTAGTGGAGCAGGATCTGAACTCTAAGTCGTTTCCTTAAAAGTCAGTTACTTTAGTCAATGAGCTATACCTCACATTAGCACATCAGGTTAGTGCGAACGAGTAACTTTGTAACACTATGGGTGAGAGAATAATCAGGCTTGGATGCACTTACACCACTACGATCCGTTTCGGGTCATATGTAGTCGTTGATTTTGTTGTTTCTTAAACGCCTAACTCTGAAACCTACACTTCTCTGTACAACTGAGGGTGACTGTCAAAGACTCCAGAGCTTGGTGCTACATCTTAATCTGATCTTTAACTTCTGCACAACTCGTCGATTTGTTCTCTTAGTTTCCAACCAGTAGGTTACGAGTTCGAATTCGGTTCCACCCAACGAGTTCTGGCAGCCCGGTCGAATTATTAAGTCCTCATAAAACGCGTGGCTCATTGCCTAATACACGAGGTTACTGACACCTACACCTTAATTCCACTTCGCGTTCATGATAGACAATTTCGCCCAGCATTTGCATCACAGTTGATGAAGGTTCAACAATCACTTTAACTCATTTGCCTGTTTTTTTGAATACTCTTCTCTCAATCTCTTTCTCAAGGTGTGGTTCGACCACAGGTGATGCTACAATGACAAAAGTGATTAAATGCCTAAAGCCTTCTCACCTTCATATTTAATAGAAATGTTTCACAGCTACAGAGTAAGGACAGAGCTGATTGCCGTACAGTTCTACTCGACCATTGATAAGGATTTGTTTATCTTGCAGATACTACAAGTTGTATATGTTGAAGAAAACCGGTCAAGCCTGTTTTTGCTCATGTAAGGATTTTATAGACCGCCAATGCACCATGGCTGATCTGAATTCCCTTGGTCAGTAGAGTTGACAACTCATTCAATCTTAGTCCTTGTTTTTAAACAAGGTATCTGTTCTTATCAGTGCTGTATATTCACAAAACGTTCGATATCTTACATGTCGCTTATTAAACTGTATATTTAATTTTTTTTCAAATTAACTTAGTTAGATGAAGTGGTTGAAACGCACTCCCTAAAGCTGATGAACGCCAAACTGAAAGTGGATACTACTATCAGTTCACAACTTGCTGCCTCAAATACAGAAAATACCCCGGAAAGTGAAGTTGATATCAGTGATCAAGAAGCCTCTGACCATGAATGTAATGTGAATCTCATACGACGTAATTCCACTCAAGAATCAAGTTCTGATAAGTGTATTGTAAACTCTTCATCATCAAACGCACGGTGTAATGATGTTAACATAAGAGGCAAAGAACGTTTCCCACTACGAGCCGTTAGTACAAATAATCGGGCGGCATCGCGACGATCATTAAACAAGTGGGTTTCCGGTGTGCATCGTTTCAAATCTGTTACTTCTATTATCAGTACCAACATTGATAATGCCCTGAAGTCCCATAGCGACTTCAATCACAGGTCAACTAAAAGGACATCTCTAGATCTTAAGCAGCATAGGGTAGGTGTGACCTATGCTCGTTATTCAAGGGCTCAACAGCAAAGATTCAAAAGCCGTGTATTATCAAGACCGCTTCATTCAAATCGTACGAGAGCTCCTCAGTACCTGGATTATGCAATGCTTAGGCATGGACCTCGTAAGCGAAAAACTGTGGTCTCAAAATATGCCCATCCAGATTCTTTACGAAACCGCAATGAAACAAGACTTGTGGGTGGTGTAAAACGTCGGCACGAACATAGCCACTCTAGTCTCTACGACAACGACGATTGCTTTGATTCACCAGTCAAACCTTTAAGTGAGTTGACTACTGAAGAAGATAAAATGGACGAGAGAGATGCGTATACATTGCTTAGTTTAAAAAGTCCCAGAAGGTTAGGAGAAAGGTCGTCGGAGTGGAATAACAGTTATAGTGAGAATGAGACTTCAGAAGACGTAGATTGTAGTGATAACATTGGTCATAACGCATATAGTGTGAACTGCGATCAAGATTGTCCTCGGGAGACACAGAGGTCTAGAACGTCGACTAATCAGCTATCAAATGTACCGAATAGTGACGCAGGTCGCCATAAGTTGTATAGACTTCGAAGAGCGCCGAACAGTAGTGCACACTCCAATCAGCCACATCGACTAAATTCTGTTGTTACATCTGTATCGCCGGAACATTCAACTAATCGTGGTTCTATTTCAACTCAAAATAATTATCACAGCAACACTAGGCGGGGGTGTAGAAGTAGTAACATCACGCGCCATAAATCAGATGCTCAACTGAACGCACGCTCACCACCAGGGAGTCCATTTAATTATGGAACACATACTGATGATATAAATCCATTCCGACACAAAGTACCTTCAGCAACTAGCCCCAGTCACAGTGTGAGTGAAGCAAGCGCAAGTCCCGATGAACGTCTGTATTGCATTTGCAAAAAAGTATCATTCGGCGATATGATAGCTTGTGATAACAAGTTTTGTGAGGTTGAGTGGTTCCATTTTTCGTGTGTAGATGTTCGAGTCCAGCCGAAAGGCAAATGGTATTGCCCTTATTGTCGGGGTGAGTCATCAAAGATAAAACGACCTGATATCTAATATATTTTGTAAAAGAACATTTTGCACGTTTTATACAGAAGTGATTATCTGAAAACGTTTTATTAGCATTGGTAATACATATGTTTTTGATTGTTTTTTTGAATACTTTTATGAATCGGGCTTTACCAAACCTTCTATAACTCTTCGTGTTTCCAGTAACTTGGTGCGAGCCTTTTGGTATGCCTCTACATTTTATATTTACGCATATGTAACACACAAAAAAACACAAATTACTTATTATTGTTGAGACATCCATGTGCGCAAGCACAATCCTATAAAAACGAAATACATTATCAAAATTTTAATATAGCATACCGCTTTTGTTTTTCATCTCCCATTGGTGGGTATTCAGTCATGGTTTTGTATAAATTTGACCTAAAAGTCCAAAAGTATACTCAGGTTTACAATAATTTTAAACGATACAGATACGCAACAAATCCACGTTTTTATTAAATCTCAAAATATTAAGTGTTCCTGATGTATAGTTGCTCATTTTGTGAATCACTATCGGGTAGTAAGTTGATTGGAGACAATCGGCAAGAATCCCTAGACTTGGGTTTCTCGCTTATTGGCACTCGTCATCAAGGCGTATCTACAACCTCAAGGGAACTAGTCTCCCTTGTGGGATCCGAACCTGCGTCATCCAGAGTTGTAGTCAGCGACGATACCATTGAGCTATTCAGGCCGCAATAGACCTTCTGTAGGGCTGTTACATTGAGTGATTACTGGGGAGCGCTGTATATCCGCTTCCTATCTTGTTTATCCTCTGTCTGATTTCTCATCAGTTAGTCGTTATCACTTTCAACGTTGCTGAACATACTACCTATCAGTAGCGCGCAATACAATGCTGTTAGCTACTTACCTATGTCGAAATGCTCACTCCATTAAACGTATCTGTCGGCCGAATAAGGATGAGCGTAAACCAAAGAAATATTTTTTTCCCGAAACAGATGTAGAACAAGCAACAAAAGTATAGAAGGTAGGACAACAGAATACTCTAATTACTCGACTGTATTTACTGTGATGTAATGGACGGAGAGATGCAGTTTATTAAAATAGAGATATTTGAACAGTGTACTGATTGATCATTTGGAGAGCAACCAATCTCATGTTGTCTAGTCTTGGGTGCTAACTAAATTCCATCAATTATTTTCCAATATGGCTCATTTCCTGCTGGACTAGTGGGCATAAAGCTGCTGAGTGGATTTCGATTACGAAAGTGGTTGAGGTATCTAAACAATTTTTCCACACCCAACAATATCGTAAATTCAATTCCCCTCTGTGATCTATTGGTAACTTCTGAATCCTAATAACTCCTTTTGCTCTCATCCTTTTTTCATGTTATCGCAATCAATTCAGTGGTTTCCGCATACTCTAGTTAACTCATATTGCCTTACATATCGTCTAAAGGTGACAAACACTTTTCCAATTTTTATATAGCACAACGCATTAAAGTGTCTTGATGGGTGTTCTCCGAAACTGTGAACAATCCATTTAAACTATTTGATAACTTGTACAGGTTTTATTCTGTGAAGAAGCGATTTCCACGAAGTCGCGAAACGTCAGAAATCTATTTTTCTACTTCATTGGGATTTTACAAAATATATTTCATCTATAATCCAATTACCCAATGCTCAACTTATTCAACTTTATCAGATCAAATTTTGATCCTGAAGTTTACAAAATCCAGTAGTGTTTTTTCTTCCTAAAGATTTTAAAGTTTCCGAAACCCTCCTAAATCTCTAGAGTTTCTCTACATGCTATTCATATCAAAAAAGATATTGTGCAGTGAGTAATAATCAAAAGTTGTCATAAAACATAATTTCCGATAACAGCATCATTGTATTAGGTATAGTAACTTAACCGATATGAATTTTTGAAAATAAAGTATTGAAACTGCACACCAGCATTTCTACCTGCAAACTAGGAAAGGTAAAGCGACGACTGACAGTAATTTCTGAAAAAAACAATTGACAGTTATACTGGGAATTTCGGATTAGCTTATCGATTCATATGATGTTTCATGTAAGAATTACAGATTACTTACCAGCTCTGTATTGCACAATTTAGGCGCAGGAAAAGTTTTCCTGTACTTTGTGTTCGAAATCCATATTTGACTAGGTTTTGACTCTGTAAAAGTTGAGAAAATGCTTTTTCAAAGTCAGTAAACATACATGGTTATTAGTGGTACGAGTGATTTGCATATTTTATCTTACTCAGTGGCAAACTTTATTTTGTTGGTTATTTTTATCTAGTGGTACCGTTTTGAAAGATACACAAAGCGTGGTTTAAAGGTTAAAAATAGCCAAATTCCTCAGACTAACATATTTCTATCAGGACTTTACTTCCTAAATTCTAGCGTGTAATGCTTCCATTTATAGTGCCTATTTGCCTGACTCTATAAGCCACAATTCAATCGGTCTTTTAGCATCACACTACTTAATTATACCAACTGAAATTGGTTTCAGAAATCAATTAACTAATTTCTTTCACGCTATATTCGGGTTTCTACTTGAAGCGCTCAGTGGTTTGACGTGCATTTTCAATGTGTTGGCATCATTTATTTTAGAAAATGCTGGGAATACAGTATGCTATTTGTGGGAGGGGCCGTGGCTCAGTGATTTAGGGAGGTGACTACCAACTAGTGGGTCACGGGTTCGAACCTCGTTCCACCTACCGAGGTTTGGTCAGCCAGGTAGTATCATTAGACTTTACACAATAGGTATGACTTGTACCTTGGCTGCACGGATGTGCACAAGATGGCTGAGTGCGTTAAGTAATATTTATGGGATAAGATTGAATACACTGTGGAGCATTGAATTATGTACTAAGAGAATATCTCTCAGATCAGTTTGTCATCATTTGTCTCTGATTCATGTGGACGTGCTACAATGTGATAACGTTGTATTTTGTTGTTTAACTTTGCCTATCAGTTATTTCTACTTCAAGGTGCTCCGTTAGATCAACTAATATTTTGCGTGAAAGTTAATGGAAACTGTTGGTTGGGGGCGATCAGCAGGAAGCCGTGCTTCACTTAGGTTTCATGCTTGTTTGTACTTGTCAGTAAGGCGTGTCTGCAACCGCAGGGGGACAGATGTCCCCTGTGGGATTCGAACGCACACCACCCCGTGTTGTAGTCAACAAACTGTTTGGACCGTGATTGACCACTGCAAACTGTTTCACTTTCCTTTTGAAGTAGTTCATACAGTATCTTAAATAAAAGAAGGATGGGTAAGTGTTTGACATGAACTGCATAAATGCGCCCAATGAACGGAGTTACTTCCTGTGTTCGTTTACCATTCCGTTGTTCCAAAGATAATGGTAAACGTTAGGATGTAAAATATCAGCTCATTGCATCACATCTTGTTGAAGAGTATCTACCTACCTGCAAAACTGTCCAGTCATTAGGATTTAATGTGCCACTCTTACAATTGCAAAATCTTTTGGACACCTTCATTGGCAATTTGAAAGTTTTTGAGATGTGCGAATTGTTGCTCCTGGAAGGGTCTTCAAAGATGCCCCGGCTACCAATAGAGAGTGAAGTGGTTGGGCGCGTTGAACACTTCACTCACCTAGGAAGTCGGATCAGCCGTAGTGGGTCAATGGCCGACGAAGTCTCTGCATGGATACAAAAGGTTGGGTTGGCTTTTGCCAACTTACGCCATCTGTGGTACCGCTGTGATACCCGATTATCTGTGAAGCGTTGAGTGTACAGTGGTTCAGTCCGCTCTGTTCTATTGTATCACTGTGAAACACGGTCATTAAAGGTAGACATGAGTAGGCTTATGGTGTCTGACCACTGTTGGCTTTGTAACGCAGACCATATTTCGTGGTGTCACCACGTGAGTAACGCAGAAGTCAAACAGAGAAGGAGAAGTAAGGCAGTTGATGCGGCTGTGAACCTTCGTCGACTGAGATAGTTGGAGTATGTGTTACATTTGTCTGGCCACCGTCTGCCTCGTCCCACAATGTTGGCCATAGTACGTTCAGGCTAGAAGAAGGCTCGGTGCGGCCAGGCTAAAAGATGTCATCAATACATGAAGTCATTGACTGTTGGTTTGAGCCATGTAGGGCAATGCAGACTAGCCGGTTAGGGTCCACGAGGAATCAGTGATTAAAGACTCTAGGCGATATGGCTCAGAACCGAAGTCAGTGGTGCAGATGTGTGCACACATTATCCTCATGTTGACATTTGTCTCATTCTATTGTGGGACTCATCCGCGCCCTCCAGGGTTCAAACTCACTGCAAGCACGTTACCACTGAGACGCTGGGTGGGAGTCTAGTGGTTTAATATTTCCTACTTCTTCCAGTTCGCGATACAGCGCGACCTCCATCGAATTCCGTCGTCGAGCATCTGTACCCAGTGGCTCAATGGCAACGTACTGACTGTGGAACCTGGAGGTCCTGCGTTCGAGCCATGGAAGAAGGGGCTGTCCGTGTGCACTGCAGATTTACACTTCCACGTGTTAATTACGACTAATACATTATTTTTCAACAGATAATCCATTTTTCATTATCATATTTATTACTCTGCTGAGCATTCGTAACTAATTGAACATGCCTTTTTTGTCAATGTTCTCAGGATTTAATAAAACTTGTTCGTGAAATAGAAACAACACAACCTTGTTCCCACATATCTTCTTGAACTTTCCAGATAAATTTACTTGGGATAAGAGTCCTAGAAACTTTTATTACTGCCATTTTCGGTAACTATACAGAGAGGTTTAAAACTGACTTAATTGAAAATTGGAAAATTATTTATCACTCTTATGTTTATTGTTAAAAAAAGAGGTTCAATTTTACTAAGTTGTTGCGACCAACCACTTACTTTTATCTTCTTTTTTTCATTATACTGTTTTCAAAAACACTTTTGAGCGTATTCAAAGAAACTGTTAACAAGTTGATTTTGTTTACTTAGAAGACAATCTTTTCATTCACAAAATGTTCAACAATGGTAAGAAGAGTGAACTGGATTGAAATAGTTTATGCACAAACAGTAATCAAATTTGAAAGTAAAATATGAGGAGTAGCAAACAACAAATTGCTTTTACAAGTATGGTAAGATCTTTGAAAGCCTATTTACCAGTTGAATATGTGACTAGTAATGAATACAGTAAAATGAAAGGTTAATAAACCCCATAGTCAAACTAAAGCTCAAGTTTAACCTGCTTATTCACTTATGTATTCATAACACATAGGCTGCAAGTTTTCCCTTTTTGAACTAATTACTTGAAATTGTGGATACTTTTTCAGGGGCTCTTTGACCAGAATCTGTAGTATTGGATTTATTTTGTTCTTATAATGAAGAGATACAATAATATTTGTAAGTGAATTTAGTTATAGTATGCTTTGTAGATTTGTATGATCAGTTACATCGAGCAAGCTAAGAAAATAGATAAAAATCTACTATCTCATAGTTGTACAGTCTTGTTTACAGTCAACGAAAACAACAACAACAATCAAGGCTAACTAATTCATGACATTGTTACTTAATACAACAAATTCTCCATCGGATAGTAATGATAATTTTTTAGTAAACTTCGTATTATTAGTCCGTAAACATATTAAGTTGAATTTAAAAGCAGGAATTTCTATTATGGAAATGCTTGACAATATTGGTAGTGTTACGAAATGATATTGAACACTTTCCACTATATGCTGATTTTATACTTACTTCAAATGATCCAGGTATTTTAACAAATGTAGGGTCTTCCAGTTGACATGTTCCACCTGTAAAAAATCTTCTTAGATCTTCTACAACAGACTCTCCAACAGGACGCCAACAACTAACCCCAATTGAATGAGTACCTTTCATGTATGAAGAGAAAAAGATTTATCCTCTACTGTTAGTATCATTGTTAGTCAATTTATAGTTTTGTAAACTTCAGGATCAAAATTTGATCTGATAGAGTTGAATAAGTTGAGCATTGGGTAATTGGATTATGAATGAAATATATTTTGCAAAATCTCAATGAAGTAGAAAAATTAATTTCTGACGTTTCGCGACTTCGTGGAAATCGCTTCTTTAGAGAATAAAGCCTGTACAAGTTATGGATTGTTTAAATAGTAAAAGGTGACGAATCCGATCACATTATGTGTACATGATAATAATATGAACATAAATGTCATTGTTATGTTCGTCAGGAAGCGTTCAAACTTGTCTTTGCCTCTGCTATTCTTCTTTCTTTGTAGTTCGAAAATCCTTTTTGAATAATTTTAATATTTTCAATATCGATTTTGTGACTGATAGTAACATAATATTAGGTGTATTGCATTCGGATAACTACCCTAAGAATGTCATTCAAAAGATCCAGAAACATGAGCAGAGAGACCCATGACGAAATTCAAATGATGATTCTTGAATTAGCATAAAAGTCCTGTCATTCCACCAAGGTACAACTGAAGAGCTAAAAAGAATCTTAAGAAAGCACTGAATCACAGCCTTTTTATAAGACAACAAAAACTCTCAAAAAGGATTTTCAAACTACAAAGAAAGACGAAGAATAGCAGAGGCATTTCGCATTATGTTGAATCCTAATGCACTAAGTCAACAGAAGGGAAGGCCTAACTATCCAACCAACCTGGACATTATTTCAAAAAATAACACATCACACACAATGATCAGAACAAAAGTGGATACACACAAACAAACCAAATTTGTCAACCATAGTATTGTTCTTACACTTTCATATCAAGTTGTTATTCATCGAAGACTGACATCAGTTGGAGGAACAAAGGAAACCTGGAAGCAATGGACAGCTGTTTCGTCCTAGTATGGGACTCCTCAGCAGTGCGCACCCACGACCCCACACCAGCAGGGATCGGACCCGCGGCCAGCGCGTTACCATTGAGCCACTGGGTCACAATCCAATGCTCCATATTTCCAACTTCTGTTAGCTCACGATATAGCGCAACCGCCACCCAATGTCATCGTTGAGTATCTGTCCTCACGGTCATCAGGCTTTGACTTCACCGGTCATATCAGTCACATGTGCACACATTCACATCACCTTGAACACCAAACTAATTAATGGATAACAAAGACAAATTGTGAACGCTTCCTGACCAGCATAACGATGACATTCACGTTCATATTATCATCATGTATAGACGATAATGTGATCTGATTCGTCACCTTTTACTTATTTAAACTATTCGATAACTTGTATAGGTTTTATTCTGTGAAGAAGCGATTTCCACGAAGTCACGAAACGTCAGAAATTAATTTTTCTACTTCATTGAGATTTTACAAAATATACTTCATTAGTTAATCCAATCTTAGTGTAAATAAAAATTGATAGTCCCAGCTTTATTTGTATCGAGTACTACTAGTTTTAGTGATTTTAAAGCATTTCTTATCAATTGTGATGCTATACATTCATTTTATCATCTGTCTACAGTGTAGAAGGCTGGTGATGGAGGCTTAGGTAACGATTTAAGTAGATTCATGTGTCATAAAAATCTTTATTTTCTAGATATATAAACACTATTGTTCTTTTCAAAACTTTTTAACTTGAACAACCAACTAGTACAGTAACACTGCTTCGTTTTCGTTGATTTAAATAAAAACGAAAACTGTGGTCTGTAATCAACTTTGGCGTATTATTAACATGCACCACACAATTGAAATTGTGGTAGACATCGAAGGAAGCGAATCTCGCATAGAGTAACTTAACACAAATAATTTCAATATATTAGGCGGATATGAAAGTAACTAGATATTGTCTAGGTAAATTCATTGTTTTGATAATGTTGTTAAGTACTCTGGAGCTGGATGTTTTAATCATGAAGCTTTCATTGTCATTCTAGACAAAATAACCAGCAGAAACTTTAGCAAGACATGTTCATTTCCACATACATAGAACCGTTGTAACCATTATATGAAACAAAATTATGCTTATACACTTAGGAGGTTGAGAATTCAGGAGCCTAACTGATGAAATCAGATAATTCTAGAAATCATCGGGATAATCTCATCACAGAACGAGTAATAAAAATATTGTAATCAAGATTCAATAACGAGTATCTCTTAATTTCCATTCAGAACGAAAAACAAGAACAGTTTGATAAATGTTATCAAGTGAGGATAACACGTAGTGGAGTCCAGGTACATCTAGGTGATAAATCGTAGGACGAAACGCGAGTCCTATATTCTACTGCTAGTAGTCATCAAGATGAATACAAGTTTGTACCTACATCTGCGATTCATGATAGTTTATTTCAGTCAAACTGTTATAAATAATCAAGTGTCAGGTAAAAATATCGATGATAATCAACATTTTTCTAGTATTTTTGAGATTCTTATATTCTAGCGAGTTAACAAACATTATTGTGAACGGTGAGATATAAATGCATAAAAACTCTTGCTCAAGGCTAAAAGTCATGTTCCATATTAGATTTGTTTATTTAATTTAGAACACACAGTGATCTAGTATTATCCACTTGATGACGCTTCGAGCATAAATTATTGCTCATAATCATATCCATGTAATCGCACATCACTTTCGACATTCGATTTTTATAGTTACGTCACTTTATATGAGTTGTTTTCATTGGTAACAAAGTTTTCCATATCTCTGGTATAGGTGTTACGTCATTCCTATCACATGTGTCGATGAACAAAGATTCAGTAATCAATCTCTCTCTCTCTGTACCTAATTATATTGGACTAAAGTATAGTGGCTTTATCCTACCCTATTGTGTGGTTGTGTTAATGTATGCATAGCGATAGCCGAGTTTTTTTCTAGATTATTAATCTTATTTAGGTCTGTTATTCTATATTTAGCTAAATTCCTATGTTCGGTTATTCTAACTGACCCCGACCGACTAGTTTGACCTATATACTTGACCTCGCAGTCATTACATGACATTTGATAGATTATATTATTTTGCTTAATTGGTTTTATCGGATGCTTAAGCCAACCGACAAAGTTTATCTCTGAGTGAGTTTATAGGTTTAAATGCTACCCTAATTCCAACTTTGTTGAGGATTCTACGTAAGGTCTCTGAGGTACCCTCCTTATAGGGTAATACATTGGCGGCTGTCAACTCCTTTTTTCTCAAGTTATCGTTATTAGTCGAACCCGTGTGACTGTTATCTTTTTGTTTTTTGTGTGTCCGTAAGAATTTCTTAATAAACTGTGGACGATAATTCTTAACTATTAGAGCTTCTTTTACGTGTTTCAATTCCTTGTTTAGATCAATAATCTAGAAAAAAAAACTCGGCTATTGCTATGCATGCATTAACACAACCACACAATAGGGTAGGATAAAGCCACTATACTTTAGTCCAATATAATTAGGTACAGAGAGAGAGAGATTGATTACTGAATCTTTGTTCATCGACACATGTGATAGAAATGACGTAACACCTATACCAGAGATATGGAAAACTTTGTTACCAATGAAAACAACTCATATAAAGTGAGGTAACTATAAAAATCGAATGTCGAAAGTGATGTGTGATTACATGGATATGATTATGAGCAATAATTTATGCTCGAAGCGTCATCAAGTGGATAATACTAGATCACTGTGTGTTATAAATCAAATAAACAAATCTAATATGGAATTAATTTCTACCACAGTGCCCAAGTTTTATACCTATATTAATAAAAGTCATGTTACTAGGTGAATAAACTAGTCTAAAACTCGATGAAACTTGAAGAAAATAAATTTTTCTCAATGAATACATTTAAAAATCCACAATACAAACCAAGACCATCCACCTGAGCTACAAATATTCTCCATTATTTTAAGACTCATGTTTGTTTACTGTATCACCAGTAGACAGGTATCTGAACGTATATATTTATGCAGGACAATTTATAGATTTTCATGCATAAATACCAGTTACAATACTGATCGATCTTTTCACTGATACAATAAGTTCTTATCTCACTCACTCCCAATCTTTGATATGCATTCATTGTACATGAGGTTTGAATGTATCAAACACTTTACATTTCATAGTGTTAACCCTTTCCAAAACTCATCATGTCATGAAAATTGTGTGATAGAGATGGAAATCCATGTGAAGAATGTTACTGAAAACACTTGAATCGGTAACATGAAACTAGAAAATGTCAGATCTACAACATATACCTAAGTTTGATTTCTCCTTCAAATGTTAAAAATAAAACGTTGTCCTACATAAGACTGATTTTTCCTAAACTTGTTCGCTTTAAGATGCTTTATAAACATCCAGTCCATGTTAATGACGGATCGTGGCTAGCAGTAGAACCCAGGATGCGCATTTCCTCCTATTTGGGACTCATCAGCTGGATGTACCTGCCTCCCACCGGGATTCGGACTCCGGAGCGATCGCTTCAAACGTCAGCGTGTTATGCACTACACTACCGAGCCACGATAGCCACTCCTTGTGCAACGGGTACAGTTTTAGTATAATTGTTTTTATATCATACCATCGTTGATTGAACCGAATTGATGAGTCTTTATTGGCATATAGGCTCTTGTGCAAATGCCTCGATATTGCCTGCGTTCTAATTATGTTAATGAAGTGGTTATTGTGGCTCAATGGTGTAGTGGATAACACGCTGGCGTATGAAGCGATCGCTTCAAAGTCCGAATCCCGCTGGGAACAACATCAATCACTGGAAAGCAGGTACGTCCAGCTGACGAGTCCCAAACAGGACGAAATGCACATCCTGGGTTCCACTGCTAGCCACGACCCATCAATAACATAATTAGAACGCAGGCATCCGCACAGGAGCTTATATGCCAACAGAGACGGATCAATTCGGTTCAATCAACGACGGTATGATATGAAAGACAATCATACTAATCCAGTCCATGGTTGTTACGCATGTCCCGGAGGAAGTTGGGCGCCGATTCTGTTTAATCATCATAAGTGATTACGTTAAAACTTACCTATATAATGTTCAAGACAGTTTTCCATTAGTCCCTGGAAAACTAAAGATTTACTACGGAAGAGGGCGTATTTGATTGATGTAAGAGAATGGAATTAATGAAGCGTTGGGTCCTCAACTTAGTAGGCTATTTAACAATTGTTAGTGGTCATTCTGGGAGACGAAACTAACGTTCCCACCCATTTGAACTTCTATAGAAGATAAAACCTAACAAATCAGACAGTATGCAATTCTAATACTACTGTTATTACCGTTAAGTTGTAAGAAAATTCATATGATGGATCGTGGCTAGCAGTGGAATCCAAAATGCACGTTTCGTTTTATTTGGGACTCAGTAGCTGGATCTACCTGCTTCCTAGTGAGCGATGTTGTCCCCACTTAAGCTCAAACCCAGAACCGACCGGTTCAAATGCCACAGCGTTATTCTTTAAGCCACTGAGTCACAACAGCGGCTTCTTGTATGAAAGGTATAGTGATTTCCCTGAGATGAGAAGTGAAATACTGAAAAGGAACTGAACTTTTGGTCGTTGATCTCGTCACCATGAAACTAACAATGTGGTACGATATGATGTAAATTGCACAAAAGTGCAATTCAAGGTGTTTGTCACCATTAATTAAAAGTTTAAAATACGTAAGAAAATGAGAAACAACTTTAATTACCAAAAAAGTTGAGCATCCAATCTGCAAGAGAAAAATTTTGAACAAGTTGAAACCTGCTTCTTCCCCACTGATAGGAAGCAGTCTAAATCGAAATCAACATTGAGGGTTATCAGCCGCTAAGGTAAAAGTTTTGAATTTCAACCTTGGTTTCGTGTTACTTTGTGGGGGAAAAAGTCTCATTCAACAATTTTATCCTTCAGTTGACTAATGAGAACAAATATCCAACTTATGACCTGGTGGCTTCATTTTCTGAGGGAAAATTGTATGTTAATGATAAGTTTTTTGTCAAATACAGTTGTCCTCCTTACACTCACACCTTGGTCTTTGTCTTCTGTCTTTCACAGCTCAGTGAAATGTCATTCAGGTTTGAGGGAGAATATTCACTATTCGTATCCAGTCCAAATATCGCACTGCATTAGTATCGTTTCGCGTATTTATTATTATTCAGTCGGTCATATCACTCATTAAGATAAAAAAAAAAGACTCGTAATGTGTGAGCTACACTAAAAAACTATTACATAGGGTAGGAAATTCATAAAGTTAGGCAATGTGATGGTAAAAACTTCCATGTTCGGTGAAAGATACTCAACAAGTGTCTTAGCGGTTATTTTTTAAGACGTTGAACTAGCACTTACAGAACAACTGAGAATATCAGATATTTATAAATACATCTGTTTCTCTATCACCCTTCTTTACTGAATGCGCAATGAGAACATGAATATTTCTTCTGTTCAACGTTGTTATGAAGCAACTTATGAGGTTACAAAGAACTGAAGTGTACTTGCAATTAATTAATAAAAACTTGTGTTCATCATGGAAATAGTTCTACTTTACTCAGAACAGTAATATACATTTGAAGCCTTGACAACAATCCTCAGAGTACCAAATATTTCATCGAGTCATATAAAAATGCTTTTAAATGGAAAGCACTGAATATTTGGAAGGAAAATGAATGATACAGAGTTTAAATTCAAAGATGCATACGTTTCAGGCTTGAAACCCTTCGGCACAAAAGTTTAACTAATGCAATAAGGTATTAAAAATAGACTTGAAATAAGTAATAGTTGGAAAGGATATACTGACATGCTCATTATTTACCACTTGTAATCACACATGCATATTATTGGGATCAGTCATATGTCACAATTAGGAGGATCATACTTTTTTTCCTTGGTAAGATTTGACTCTGAAGGTAATACCTTGTTTATGTTTTGGAATTCACGATTGTTTAACACAATGGTATTTAAAATTATTCATAAGTGAACAACAATACTACTAATGATATAAGTAACGAAAAATATCTTATATTATTACCAGCAACACGTGGCAGTTCTGTATATCCATAGCCTTCAGTTCGACTTCGAGTCCAGAAATCAAGAGACAAAATTTCGAAATATAATGTTGGCCATATGGAAAATGATCCATGTGTCATGTCTAAAACCAAAATTGTTTATCATCATTTTAAAAAAATTGTTAGTTATTATTTTTGTTTGAATCAACTTACATTGATAACAGTAACGCATGGTTTTAATTCAATAGTTTGCAAATCCATAAATTGTTTTCTAGTTGTGTCTAATATTTATTGATATTTTCAGTTTCCCGTTGTTTTATATGAGATCGAATTGATAAACCTTTGTAGGCATAAGGAGTGCTATCTGAACGCCTAGATATTGCCTGATTATTCATTTTGTTGTAATTTACTTTGGTGGTGGCTAGTGTTGAGATGCAGAATGGGCTTTTTGTCCAGTTTAGAACTCGCCAGCTAACTGTAGCTGCGCTCCAGTGAGTGATGGTCTTCCTACTGGGATGCAGTTGTATCCAGCTGAAGAGTCCGAAACAGGAAGAAATGCGCGTTTTTGCAATTCTTCGTTGTTATACTGGATCGAACTGATCGATCTCCACTGGTATATGGACTCCTATTTGGTGTCTTAGTGGCCTAGTAGATAACGCTTTGGTATTTAAGGCGAGGGTTACGGGGTAGAGTCTCAACTTGAACACCATCACTCACTGGGGTGCAGGTACATCAAGCTGACGACTCCCAAACAGGACAAAACGTGCGTCCTGGACTTCACTGCTAGCCACTATCAGGCAAACTACAACATTGTGTCTAATAGTTTAAATATATTCTTTAATACTAACAGTACTTACCCATATTTATTTCAGACCTATATATCAGGTCAAATTCAATTGGCTGAGAAAAGATGCTTACTTCTTCCTAAAAAAGACAGTTGTAAAATAGACCATGTGAATATCAACTCAAAAAGTAGCTTCTAAAGGTCAGTGATTAAAAACGACAGGGGTTAACTGTTTCATTGTACAAAAAGCAGGTCATTCACTCGATATCGTTGATAGTTAGAAATAAATTTAAAACGATCATGAAAAAGGTATTCCAGGCAAAAAATGTTAACAACCCATTGAAGTCAGTCATTTTATTCCGTTACAAACAGATTTGTTTAATCTAACAGCAACAGCAAAGGATGTAAAGGTTTGCTACATCTTTTCGCATAACACACACACACACACACTGACTCACATTTCCATTACTTTTGACGCTGGCTACCTGTGAACTTCCACACAGCAGCTTATGATCATATGCTTTCCAATCTATAATAATTTAATTTCAATCATTCATTATTCAACTTACTTTGTGGTAATTCAAGGTAGTATTGTACATATAGTCCAGAATTTTCAAAATTAATCCCATACACTAAAATAATTAACTTAGGATAACTTACATATTTCTCCAGTGATGAATAGTCTGAAACTTTGTTCAGCTGGCTATGAATATCATGGAAAGTTAGGTAACAGATTGTATACCATTTCAAATTGTTTACCAATCATAGTATATAACTCAGAGTACTTTCTTAAGGCTATCTAACTAACTATAAAATTCAGATATGAAATTGATACTATACTTCTTTGTCTAATTGTTCCATCCTTTTTTTATCCATTTTTGACATTTGACATGAAATATTCTCTAGTGTGAAATAATATGATCCTGATAATATAAATATAAATATATACAAATATGTTAAAAATTGTTGAAACCTTTTTGTTTACGTCGAATCGTGTGTTTATCGCTTCCATGAGTGAAATCTGGTTTACAATGTAAAAGTCCATTTGAATCAATTGTTATCCTGCAAAGTAACACTTCATCACCAACATAAAGTGATGATTGATCTGTTGAATTATCTATTATAGAATCACTCAAATCAGCCATGATATACATTTCTTGTGTCATTTTAGTAGGCAGATGATTAAAATTTCTTATATAGTCTGGAGGAGATTCAAGCAGTAGTTCATATGATGGTAAATGACTTTAAAACTTAGAATTCTGTAAATAACTTCTACTTACCTTGATAAATCCTCTGGTTTTGCCTGAATCTTAGACCTTCGTTTTTCTGCATATGAAATACTACCGATACCATTTACAAATATCTAATGAAGGCTAGAATTAATATATAATTTACATCTTTGTCCATTGTTTTTTCATCTTTGTGAATATAAGTAAACAATCTTCTAGTTGGGAATCCTGAACTGCTGCTTTAAAATACCTTGAAATTATCTGCTTAAACTTACCTAACAGCATTGATTTCTTTGTTGTAAAGTAGTTGTGTCTCTGTTGTACAGTTGTTTACATCTCGATAAAAGATTCTTTCTTTCTGAAACAAAATAAAGTTTATATATATATATATATATATATATATATATAGTAGATAATATTGAAACTTTAAATAAGCAACAGATATTACTTGTATTACACAGTGGTGTCGAGTAAGAAATAACAAGGAATATATTTTTATGGTAGCATTCATCAGGGACTGACATTAGTTGAAGAACCAGTAGAAACCTGGGAACACTGGACAGCTGTTTCGTCCTAATACGGGACTCCTCAGCACTGAGCACCCACAACCCGGTTAGGGATAGGACTGACAGGTTTCACGGCGAATGCGTTAACCATTCAGCCACTGGGTCGGAGTTCAGTGGTCCATAGTTTCCTACTTCTGTCAATTCGCGATTTATTTATTGGTATTAATTCAATTGGAATACTTTGAAATCATTCCTAGTATCCAGAGATACTGTTTTTATCATGTTCATAATGGATTGCACCAAAAAATAGGGTCATGTAAACCTTTTATGCTATTGTTTATCAAACTGAAAATACAATCAGGAACCCATATGCCAATAAACATTGATCAATTCAATATAATCAACGACGGAAAAGTACAAGCAATAACACTAAACCATACCATCCACATAAGGAAGTACTATCTTGACTTACTCGCTTAGTTGATAACACAGTGGCGTTTGGAACGATCGGTTCTAAATTCCAGTTCTAATTGTAGCAACATCACCCACTGGGAGGCAGGTACATTCAACTGACGAGTTCCGAATAGAACGAAACCCGCATCTTGGACTCTACTGCTAGCCACTAGCATGTAAGATGTTATTGATGTATCTGTTCAAGTAATTACTGTTATCAATTTGGTTATAAAAATTGCACTATGCCTGTGATAGTATATAGATAAGAAATAATCTCGTTTGCTAGTGACTTAACGATAAACAAAAAGTAGAGTACAATTTTGAGGTTTGTGGGGACTTATAAATTTCCAAGTACTCATTATCACCACTGATCTACTGGCTCGAAGTCCAATAGTCCACATTTTCCTACTTCTGTCAGTTCAAGAAATGGCTCAGCTCCCATCTATCATGGGTGCGCACTGCTGAGGACACCAGGACGAAACAGCTGTTCAGTGCTTCCAGGTTTTCAGTGTTTCTCTAAATCATATCAGTCCGTAATGAACAAAAAACAAAAATTAGAATACTTAGGAACCTATTTACTGACAGCTTTCTATGAAAAATATTTTGTTCCCCAAGATACATCTCTCTAACTCTTCATCACTGTCAAGTAGAAGATTAAAACTCTTAAGCATTTTGGAATACAGCAAACTAAGTAGTCATAGTCTTCATTATTATTGTTATTATTATTATTACTATCTGTAAGTTACACAAAGCAGTATTAAATTCGAACTCTTCATTGTCTTAGATATCTGTTTACAATGAAATTTGCAGTTTTATATGGTATTGTAGATGATAGGAGTGAATTAATAGTAATTTCTATTGTTTAACTACTAAAAGCTAACCCTGCTTCAGCGCCTATTCAATCATTCAACTATTCTTGTCGTTGTGGGAACAGGTTTATTAAAGAATTCATTTGTAATGTTCTATATCAGACAAAATTTATCCTTGACTTAACTACATCACAGTCGAGATGAAGACAGCAATATGTTTGACCACTGATAGATAGTTTAGATCACTAATAAACCTCCTTTGAAAATTCTTCAACAGTCTCTATCAAAATAACTGTCAATTATTTTTTTTAAGATGGTTGATTCCAAAAACAAACTGATCTCATTTTCTTCTAACAGTTATATCATTCCTCGCTTTTGAAAAACACTTCCTATTTCAATAAGATTACTTTGATATTTCAGTCTGTAACCATTTCACAATTCAAGGTGAGACAGTTTATGTGAATAGTAATCAAAGTGAACTTTAATATGATGGTTAATAAAATCCCCATAAAATACAACAAGTCACGAGATATCTAGAGTGAAAATTTTTCACTTTTCAAATGACTTACTTGGTGATTAAAGCAAATTTCTACTGAGTCTTACACCTCTGGTGATAGTCACCATCACTAAGGTCTCATTGTCATTTTAGTTCATCAAGATTATCATCAGAATATTGAAGAAACTATGAGCGGAGGTTCAGTTTATAAGCTACTTTTGTTTTCATTTTTCTGCACATGAATAGACTGTATCGAATCTAATCGGTTATTGTATTTGAAACTTAATATGAATATTTAACTTCAAGAATAATTAGTCTAGTTGATCATAAGTGTCAAGAAAGTCTTTGATGATTAGTGTTTTGTTTCGCTGAAAATATCAATTTCAACAGAGCATTTTTGATACAATTCTCCTTGATAAATTTTAATAGTGGATGATGAGTAAACATGAGATGAAAATCTGGACCATAGTGGGATTTGAACGAGTAACTCAGAGGTCACGGTATCAATACAAGTCTACCAAACCAAAGGTCTATATCAGATAGTCAAATCCATAAATTTAAATAGAATGAGAACAGCACTTTTCTCAGATCCATAACATGAATCCATCTTATTTCGTGATTTCTAATCAGCTTCTTAAAACTTAAAACAATTTTAACATTAATTTATAAAGAATGCTTGCATATATCAGTCGATTTGATAGAAAATTATCGGCTTGAAATAACGATAACACTGATATGACAAAACTAAAGATACATGCATGGAGTAAAGAAAATATGCAAAAACTAGTAGTAAATTTGTCAATACATATAGAAGACTAAGACGAATATTCTAGGAACGAAGTTGGATAAGAGGGGGAGATAAATGTATTTAACATATTGAGAAAGGTTACATAAAATATGTGAAGAAAAGATCATCATCATCGCTATCAACACAGGACCAGGCATTACTGCCTCACGGTCTGAGTTGCCACAGCTCATATCAGTATATCAAATAAAAAGGCAGTGAAGTGGAAGATGAAGATAAGAAAACTCAGTCAGAAAAAATATAAAGTATGAATAGAGGGAAAGGAAGAATGAGAAAATGGTGAGATTCGGCATAGCGTCGTTAAGATGAGGATAATGTGTGCATACATCTGCGCCACTGACGTCGGTTCTGAGCCATATCACCTAGTCTCCAACCACTGGTTTCTCATGTCCCGCAGACCCCAACCGGCTAGTCTACATCGCCTCACATGGCTCAAATTAACAGTCACAGACTTCATACATTGATGCCATATTTTAGTCTGGCCACCTCTGACCTTTTTCCAGCCTGGACTTACTTAGGCCAACATTGTGTGACGAGGCAATAGGCGACTAGAAAAGATCAGAGGATTTATATTAAGAAAATAAGATGAGTAGGATTCAGATAATTAGGTCAAGGGTATGAAGTGAAATAGCAACAAATGTGTATGAATCAATAATGATACGTAAAAAGAGAACATGATGATTATCAACAGCACAAGAATTATCACCACGTAGGTTAAGACTAATAACTGTTTCTTTCTGAATAAGCTCGGCTTTAATCGCTTGATGGCTACCACTTCATCAAAACGCTACAATTTCGAATTCATATGGTTGTTAACTGTTTTGAACTATTTCTGGATATCAACTTCATGTCCACTATAACTAAGGTGATGAGTGATAGCGTTGTTGAAGACCTTCTCACCTCACGATCGCAAATTCCTTCAAATATCCTAAGAGATGTGGTCACAAACCCTTCTTTCAGTTAATTCAATATATGTGCTTTGGCATGTACATGTGAATTGGCATACGCAGTTGTAGGAAGCATAAAGAAGGAGCTTGTTGACCTCTGACTATCTCAGTCAGTAATTCGTTTAGTATAGTGCGATTATCCTAGCAGTTGGATAGATCCTTTTTAGGACAATATTTATTCTGTAATCAATTCTCCCAGAAACATCACCATTGAAGCCAAGATTTAAGAAAACAAGCTTCTTTTCAACTACATCATATTTTATGGTTCTAGTTGGTATATTCTTGTACTTATTGGTGAATTCCTGGGATATCTGATGGAAGGAATTTTCAACAATAGTTTTTCACCCTTCCTGTGTTTCTTTCGGGAATAGATATGCGGTTGAAAAGTATTTTCAACAACCATTTCTTATAATTTATGGGAGTTGCTTTATTTTATCGGATCTCGAAAAAACTTAGTTTGAAACAAATCTTATAACTTATAGCTGGTTACGTGACAAAATGGGTGCAAATTGAATTCCAGGGTTGAAAATTTCCAAAATGATCAACAAAGACGAAAGGCTTCATTCATGAAATAATATTAATAATTCCTGGATACATGTTATTTTCAAGCATTCATACTTTTACTTATATATCAATATGATTTTACGAAAAGTTGGAGACAATGAGAAAGGATAGCATCGAATATAAATTCACTGAGAACTCATGCCAACATTTTTCAACGCTTTTGACGTGTGTTCAGCCGTATATACATTATCACCTAATATTCCCTAATTTGAATCTTACGAATCATTTTCAGCAGATTTTAAGATAGTTATTTGCCCAATGGAAGCTTTTGGTTAGAATGCCTATTTGTTTGGAAAAATGAAGCTTATTAGATATAAGGAGAGTCAACCGGATAGAAGCCAAAGACCCTAGAATTCGTGCTTATTAGCACTCATCAGCGAGGTTTATCTGAAGTCAAAGTGTTCCTTCAGTGACTCAAACTTATGTAACTCAATGTTGAAGTCAAAGATTTCTCTACTAATTTAAGTACACTGCAATACTGAACCACTACGTTAGTTACCTATTGATGATCGATTTGTGTAGATGAAACATTACTAGATATTACGCATTTCTTCCCTATTAAAACAACCTAAAAGAACTAAAGGCTCCTATCTGAATTATATAGGTAAAAGACAGTATGGCTGGCACCAAAGAGCACCAATAAGTATTGATAGAAACAGCTTTATGTTTACATCACCCCCTCAGAGAGTCACATTATCTGCTCCAGGTTTAACTAGGTTATGGACAAGATGCATTTGTAGATAGTATGTGAAATTTATATGTTGTGCTGATTGAACTAAATGGTAACTAAAGGTAGGCAGCTTGACAGTTCATAAAAATGCTCTCTAATATACAGTAGGTAGCTGGAAAACAACCTACACCAAAGAAATACAGGTCACCATATGGCAATAGGTGAAAAGTCGTTGAGATAACTGTAACGCATTCGAAATCTTACTCATTTACCTTCCAGTTTCGATTTCTAGACTGCCTCATCCCTTTGTTGTCAAACTCTACCGTTTGTCAGTTATCCTTTATTATTAAATGTAAGTACATCCTATGTGCTTGCTGAGTCGTCGGCTCACCTTTTTCTCTTCCTCTTTTCCCTTCCAGATTCTCATGGCCATCACTAAACTCACACTGCCCTACGCACCCCCTGCAACAACGTACCTACATGTCTACTTACCTACAGACTAGATGAAAACGTATCAACAGCTGGTCGTTACAAAATCATTTCAGTAGCTTAGAAGGCAATTTTGTTTTTTGGGGGTGCCAAACTATTCGGCTCGAAAGTTCTGATTCTACATGTCTTTACTGTATCCGGATTCAGGATCCTAAGCATGATTTAAAGTTTTTCAGCACATTCTTTAAAAGGATTCCAAAAGAGATATTTGTTGTAGCAAATATTTCATGAATGTCAGCCTTAAGAACCTTAGAGCACAGAATACTAAATTTGCCAAATTGCATCTACCAGGTTTTACTGCCATGAAAGTAGGACTTTTGAAATCTCACACAGTATATCCGAACCCCGAATGCGAGATGGAAGACTTCTTCATGAATAAGTTGACTCCCTGGAGGCTGCCAAGTTGACCGCTGTCATTTCCACCTTCTGTACATTGGCTCTTTCTAACGTGTTGGCCTGACACAAGATGGCTACTGTGGACCTGAAGGTGGTCTCAGCATGATCACCTTTACAAAGGAGGGAGTTCTGGCTGAATCTCACATCCTGTGAGTGAATACTAAGTCTACAACTTATGCAGCATGCTGATAATCGTCTCTGGTTGCTACCCAAATGTGCCGTAGAATAGAGGTAACCATGCACCTGTGATGAAACAAATAACTTGGTGCTCCTCCTGTATTGGGTAATCTCAGCCAACTGATGGTGCGTTGAAGTCTCCTACTACTAAATATCTGCACTGGTATGACCAGGAAGTCACCTTATCAGAAGTAAGTGTACCAAGAAAATTCACTCTCAAGAACTATGCTGTTAAGCAATCATACACGGGATTCCCGAATGTTCGGGCACTGATGCTGTTGAACTTATCCACGACATAAATCAGTGGAGATATATAATCGACAAACTCCAAGTCAATGTGAGGGCCGAAAAAATTAACCGTCTTCCAAGGCCGGCTCACCTCTCGACCCTTGGTACTTCCAGGCTGCTCCAACTAATCCTTGGCTCTACAAACATGGTCAGAACTAAACTGGAATCCTAGCATAGTGAGTCTGATGCAGTCCTTAGAGAAATTAGGATGGGTATGAACCTAGGGGACAAGGGTAGACCGAGAGGCGATACAAGGGCTTTTCGTTTTAACGATCTAACGGTTGGATGATGAGCAAGAATTCTTATCGACCTTGCTCCAGATCAAAGAATCCTACACTAGTTCTCAACCAAGCAGATTGGTGGATGTAGTAGCCCTTGGTTCCACCCCCTTATTAAAAACTTGTCAAAGTCAGCCCTTTGAAGGCTGTTAACACATTCTTAACTCAGCCTACTTCCTGGACTCGCGGTATTCATACTCTCATTTGCTGTACCTATAGTAATGTGCGTGGCCTGCGCTTCAAGATGCCAGGGTTGCAGTTATTAGTTGGTAGGGATAGTCCTAGCATAATGATTTTCTGTGAAGCATGCCTCATAGAGAACATGGAAGATGGGGAAATTCATTAAGAACGGCTCAACCTAATTCGGAAGGATAGATCTGAGGGTCCTGGAGGAGAGGTAGCTCTTCACGTCTGTCCTTCCCTGAAAGCCCAAGAGATTCAGTACCACAGAAGTGGCACTAAAGATGTTCTCTGGTATAACATTAAATGCTATATAGGTCACTGTTTGGTTGGAGTCTTATACTGCCCTTCTGGAGCCACTGCCAGCTTCATTAGACGAGCTGTGGAACTGAACTTTTCTCATTACGGAAGATTGTAACTTCCCTCAACTCTTTACTGCCAAAAGTCCATCTGCTGCTTTAAGAGACTTTCGGGAATTATTACTGGAAAACCCTCTGACTGAATATGACAATTAGTGTCTTTTCTGGGGCTTTGACAGTAAGGCATCCCGACCAGATTATATTTTAACAAATCGGTTTACTATGGTAACCAACTTGAATGTTCTTAGCCCTCTTCGGTTGAGTGACTATGCAGTTGTTTCCTTCAATATTTCTATATCTAAGCCACCTGTTCCTGATCTGCCTCTAGTCAGGAATTATAGGAAAACTGATTTTGAAAAGGTCTGGCAAGATCTAGAAGGTTCCCCTTGCTTAAATTGTGATGACCTACTAGATCTGGATCCCAGATGGAATTTGTTGAAGGACACAATCCTTTAGACGATAAATAATAACACTCCTTTGATTACAAGAAGAACCGACAAGCTCTACTCCTCCTGGCTTAAGTCAAGCACGTGAAAACTTATACGACGTAAACGATCATCTTGTAATCGATGGAAGGTAACTAAAAGCTCTATTGACTAGCTAAGTTACAAAGACATCTGCAACAGATGCACGATAGGAATCAGAAATGACAGAATAAACTACCAAACACATTTGTGTAAAACCCTGAAGGGGAATCATGGGATACTATATTTGCTGATGAAACAAAACAGTAACAGTTCCCTTAGTATACAGGATTTTAGTAGTTTACAGATTCTCCACACTAACTCCAAGGTAGCAAACTTACCAGCTCATGAATTCCAAAACAACTATTGTCGGTTGCGAAGGACATCCACACATCTGTCGGACGCCCGTATCACAGAGGAGTTAAACCATATAGAGTTCGAACCTTCTATAGTTAAGAGAGTCTTAAAGAACTTCGACCCGAATAAATCTCCAGGAGTTGATGGGATCCATCCAAGAGCACTCAAAGAGTGTGCCGATGTTCCAAGCATCCCACTAGATAACCTCTTCAAATGCCCGTTTCTGGAGGGTAGGTTACCATCTAATTGGAAACGGGTGACTGTCACCCCAATATATAAAGGTGGAAACAAACTACTTGCCTCCAACTATAGACCGATCTTCCTGATCTCTTCAGTTGCGACGGTCATGGAGAGAGTACTAAATGACTCATTTCGTGATCACTTACTTAAGAAACTAATCTTAAACGACTGCCAACATGCTTTTTACCTGGAAGGTTATATAACACCAACTTGTTGATAGCTTGCAACAGCTGAACTCCTTTTGTTGAGCAGGAAAGACCCATCCACATTGGCTTATTTGAGTTTCCTAAGGCCTTTGACAGGGTAAATCATGATATTTTATGTAAGAAACTTCAGGTCATAGGTGTCCACGGAAAATTATTAGTTTGGCTTAGAGATTATCTTTACACCAAGTTGCAGTTGGAGCTGGTTCCTCTCTATCTAATTAGTTCCCGATGTTGAGTGGTGTGCCTCAAGGTTCCATTCTGGATCCACTACTGTTTCTTGCTTTTATCAATGACCTACCAGGAGCCCTCAATTCTCACTCACCATTATATGTCGATGATCTGGAGATTCAGAGGGGAATACAGGTGCCAATGGATAATTCGGTCTTCCAGGAGGACCTTACGAAAATCCTGAATTGGACTACAGAAGACCTGTTTCTTCTCAACTCAAAGAAGTATGGGATAATGATAGTTGACAAGTATAAAAGCAGTCCCAGTTCTTACCTTTTGGGTTAAATAAGTATCTGTCACTGTAACATGGAACAAGATCTGGGAGTTATACTAAGTGACACGCTAGGAGCTTCAGTCCAGTGCCGCCTTGCAGCCAACGGAGCTTATGGAGTCTTAGGGTTTCTTTCGCGAACTTCAGAGTTTTTAACTCCTTCTCTTTTCACCACAGTGTATGCTCTGTACACTCGCCCTCATTTAGAGGAAACTTCTCATACTTTAAGAAAGACATAGCCATCCTAGAACAGGTACAGAGAAGAGCTACAAAGAAAGTGACTGGGTAACGGTAGAAACTTACCCAGACCGCTTAGTTGCTCGGAGGGGACATGATCATAATGTTCCATATAGCCCATAACCCACTTCATCCTGACAGATTTCTTTTAAGCTCTTATCAGAAATGCTACCTAAGGGGTCACCCATTAAGAATAGCGCATGAGAGAGAACGTACAAAGATCAGTACCAACTCGTTTGCAGTTAAAGTGTGCAAACTGTGGAACTTCCTTCATTCAGTTGTTACAGCCCCATTCCGTGATACGTTAAAAAGGAGGTTAGATGCACATCTCGAGTCTTGCGGCACCGAAGGGCTGTACTGGAGAAGCTTTCGTCATCTGCAGATCAGGTGAATTAATGTAACCCTTAAACCAAATTAATTAATAATCGATTATCCATATCGTTCCAGGTTTTTCAGAACCAGGAAGATAAATGTGACCATTCCAAGCACACAACGTACTCCAATAAGACAGACGTAGAACCAAAAGAACCGTCGTTCACTAATTCGACAACAAGAAGTTTGATCACGTCTCCAGCATTTCAGTCAGCAGAGTAGCATTTAACATGTCATACTTTCATGTGGGACCATTTTCAGCTATAGCTTAAAACACAAACAGACTTAACTTTAAGACTTATCCCAACTATGGTTGGGATAAATTATTATAATAATTCCAAAAGTGCTACTCTTTAATCCTAATGTTTGTGATTGGTGTGAGCGCCTTCATTCAAACTGATCATTCAAAAAGTATCAAACTTACTGGACTGAAAACCTTTTCTTGCCAATGAAAAACATATTCTTCATCGATGAGTTCCTCACTGGCTTTTAATTGTTGATGAAACAATTTGACCCTATTTATGTAGTCAAATTTATTTGTAATACCTGATTGCTAAGTTTCGTAATGGACCAGTAATAACATAAGTTCCAACACCACATTTTTCCATGTTCCCAATATCCAATATTGACAGTGCAAGCGTAGAAAACTGATAGTTTTAGATTTCTCACGTCTAGTTCGTACGGCGTTTCTTTTCACGCGCTAAGTAAGTCGTCACTGTGGTAACATCCAACATCCAATCTGATATACCCAATATCTTTTTTCTGGCTAGTGTAAACCAATTAGTTTCTTCGCGCTCGCCTCTAGGTCTTGCGGGACGGTTCCAGGTCTTTGGTGGATTCCGATGTAGTAGGTCTACCCTCTCGACTGATGTAGCTCTGGTTAGCCTGACGGGCGGTTGGATGCTGGTTAGATTTGTAGGGAGTATGTGTTTTTTTCCAAGGACTGTGGTGAAAATGGGTTCCTCAAGTGTCTTGCAAGCAGATAATTGGTCGGGCTGGTTTTATAAAGGAGATGGGAAATATATCCAGCAAAATCAAGGGACAGAAGCTGCAAATAAAAGTGGAAAAATAAAAGAAAAAAACGATTAGGAAAAATGAAACGGTACGGCAGAAGAAGCACCGGCAGATTCAATGGTTCCGACACAATATTCCAGTACTGATAGTGCGAGCGCAGAAAACTGGTAATTTTGGTCTCTCTAGTCTAGTTCTTAGGGCTTGATTCAAGTTGTTTGGTCGGCTTCCGCAGTTAACGAGGAAATCATCTGTCTTTTCTTGCTTTAAGCTTCGGTGAGGCGAATGATTTGTAGGTTGTTAAGTAGCAATTAAGAGGGTGATTGGGGAGCTGCGGGTTACCGAAAGGTATGGGTACTGTCGTGACTCCTGTCTGTGGGGTACCTGAATGAAAATGGTAAGGTAGTGGTAGAGGTGACTTAACTGCCTAACCGTCACTTGAATGTCGTGGTAATGCATTCCATGAAGCATATACTCTCAGGGAGAAAAAACTGGACCTGAGCATGGTACTGGCTCTCCGGTGTACTGTCCTAATGGGGTTTCCTCGTGAAGACCACTGTGTTGTGAGTAAGGTGATTTGTTTGCGTGGTTTGCCTGATGGACCATCTTGTAGACCACCATAAAAACGCATCTCCTTCCTGCGATAACCCAAGGTCAATAGGTTTAGGTGTTTAAGCCTCTCAGGATATGCCTTCCCCCTAGCCCCACAACTGATCTTGTTGCAGTTCTTTGCATTTTTTTCAAGATTAGCTCCTCTCTTGAGTGTTGGGGGCCCACGGTATTGAAGACCTATGGGTGTGGCCGTACGTAGGAAGAGGAAGAGTTTGAGGGTGGGGGTGCCGAGTTGTCTGCGCAGAAAGTGCAAAATGGCTTTCGCTCTAGTTGTCATATCTTTGTAGTTGGAGCTGGTGTCCAAGGTGTCGGAGAAGTTGAGCCCCAAATCTTTCTCCATGGACACTCTGGTGATAGCACGGTTGCTCAGCATGTACTGGAAGTCGGTCATACTTGCCTCATTTTTACTGATGTGCATTACTTTGCACTTTTCCAGGTTGAAGCTCAGGCCATTTTCCGACGACCAGAGCTGGAGTTGCTGCAAGTCCTTTTGTAGTGCTGCACAGTCGGCTTCTTCGTTTACCACCCTCCAAATTTTTATGTCGTCAGTGAAGAGGAGGATGGGTGAGGACATTTTGCCTGGCAGATCATTGATAAACAGGAAGAGAAGTGGTCCTAGGATTGCCCCTTGGGATACTCCTGACGTCGGTGGTCTCCACCCTGGCCTTATTCTGTTACTTTAGCACGGAACTGCCTCTTCTCCAGGTACTTTCTGAACTAAGAGAGTAGGGGTTCACTTATACCAGCCTACATGATCTTCGTTAAGCAGGACTGTGGGTGAGACAGTCAAATGCTTCGGTTAGATCGAGGGAGACAACACGTACCTGTTCTCTGTTGTCCCAGCTTGGTGTCCAGACGTTCGAAGTGGTTAGTTAGCTGGTAGCACATGAGCGACCACTCCGAAATCCATCCAGAGGAGTATTGACAGTGTTTTCCCTGTTAAAGAATTGCCATGCAGTGTCGGCTACCAGGGGGTAGAGCAGTTGGCGTGCAGTTGCCAGGGCTTTTTCTGTCTCCGCCCTTGAAGATGGATGACAAGATGGCGCACTTCCATTCTTTAGGGAGTTTGCACGACTCTACTGAGTGCTTCGAGAAGTTGCAGGTTGATTTCGCAAGCACCTCTGCGCAGTTTTTTGGATTACCAACTTTAGGCCATCGCAGACGGGGGACTGTCCTGGACGTAGCCTGGATAGTTTATCCGACACTTTTTTCTCTGTGACTGATATGTGGCAGAGGCATTCGTCATTTATAATGATGATAATATCTATTCCTGAACATTCAGGCACACACCATCATTTATGGTCTGGTCAGTGTAGTAACGAGTCGGTGAGGATTCGGTGTCAGTAGTAAGTTGTGCTCGGAAGTGTGAGCCCAAAAGCTCAGCAATATCCAGACCGCTTGGTTCACTCCCATCAGAAACTGTGATAAGATTCACTCTCCTGATGGTCAACTTCCTTTTCTACATGAAGAGGTACAGGTTTTTGGGATTGCTTTGTAACCTCCCCGTCAGGTGTGTTTGATAGGAGAACCTGCCGCTACGCGCTCCAATGTTACAGCGGTTACGAATCCTTTTGCAGTCGAGAAGGTCAGACCCCCTGCGTGATGAACCCCACTTGAACCAAGCCTGCTTCTTGCTCTGAATTAGCCTCTCTGTCCCACGCTTTAGCCATGAGGTTCTCACTGATTGTCTGTGTGTTACCTCTGGTAAACTGTGACTGATGGCACCAGCGATTACTTTCTTCACCTGTAACCAGTGTTCATCCATTGAGAGATGGGTCTAGTCTACCGGCCATGATGCATTCATGAGATAGTCCCTCATGGTCTCATAGTTGGCCTTGCTGTAGCAAGGGAAGGCGTTGGGCGTCCCCGGCTGCAGGGCCTCCCTAGTAATCATGGAAATGGTTATTACTGTGTGGTCACTGAGGCCAAGTGGAGGTTGGATGCATACATCTCCAATGAGGTCATCGTTCGTCAGAACGTAGTGAAGGCGCGATGCGTTTCCATTAGGTCCCCAGAGTGTGGCATCACTCACTCTCTCTGAGGCCAGCAACCTCAATTGCATTCTTCAGCTTCTGACTGAAGGATCTGATGTGTCTCCCTCCCGTCTCGAAGAGGGTGGACGGGGTGTCGAAGTCACCAGCGATGATTACAGAATCGTAATCTGCAGAGGACATCGTCAAGATTGCCCTAATGACCATTTCCTTGTGTGTGGGGTAGCTGGTGGGGGACCAATACATGACTCCCAACATGTATTTGGTACGGTGGAAAGTAAAGCGGCACCAGAGAGGCTCAGGGAGCCGGATTAAGGCGGTGCTGCTAACCACTCTTGCCTTCAAACGAGGACTCACACAGAGAGCAGCTCCCATTGTTCGAGAAGAGGAAACTTGTAGCCTTTGACCACCCTCTTCTAGGTCTTGAGGCTCGTTTCTTTTTGCCCACTTTAATTTCTCCAACGGTCGCAGAAGTATTCACGTTTTTCCTACTTGTGGCTCTACTAGTGATGATTGTCTATTTGAAGGCGTTTTACTTGCAGATTATAGCTTGGTTTGTTTTAGGGGGAAACGAAGCTGCTGGCAAGACAAATTAACCTTCTGCAATTTCTGTCTTTGTAAGCACCTGCAAATAAGTATTAGGAATTACTCAAAAAGTGCTAGAAATGGGGTGAGTGGGGGAAGAGAAAAAGAGGGGTGGGAAGTATTCATGGACAAATAAGTATTACCGGTAATAATATGAAGAAAGGATGGGTGTTATTGCGGATTCTAGGGTTGGGGAATACAGGGATGGAAGAGCATATCGTCGGTTGGCACTGACAAGTGTTAATGGTAAGCCATTTGCGCTCACGTACTCATCCAGTGGTAGTTTGTAGTAGTGGACCGGTGTAGCGGTGGCCAACTCCTTCGCGGAGAGTTCCATAAGACACATACTCTGTGTGAGGAGAAGCTAGATCTAGTTGTCGTCTTCGGACCGATAGCGTTGACCTGTTTGGGCGGTCCACTTGGCGAATGGTCTTGTGGGCTGTTGTTAGGTCACTCGTTCCCTTCGACAGCTTAGTGTGAACAAGTTGAGTTGGCTGAGGCGTTACGAATATCTTTTGACTGTTAGTTCGACAACCGACCACGTCGCCTTTCTCTGTACCTTTCCGAAAGTACCTGCGTCTCTCTTAAGTCGTGGAAGGGGGCCGCCGTGTTAACCACCCCTGCATGTGGTCTAACATGGGTTTTAAGAACCAAAAGGAATAACCCCGGGGTTAACAATCCCAGCCACCTTCTTGGAAAGTGCCTTGTGGCGTTTGTCTTTTTTGCCACTCCCTTACGGTTGTCAGCAGCATCCAGTGTGTCAGGAAAGTTCAGTCCAAGGTCCTTCTCTGTGAATACTTTGGTGGTTGCACACTTGTTGAGGGTGTAGCTGATCTTCATCGCCTCCGGTATGTGAAGATATATCACCTTGCATTTCCTCGGGTTAAAGCTTAAACCGTTTGCAGCTGACTACGACTCCAGCTGCAGAAGGTCGTTTTGGTGCATCTTAGGGTTCTCTTCCCCACCCACTGCCCTCCATATTTTGATGTCGTTGGTAAACAGAAGAATAGACGAGGAGGTTTTAGTGGGGGGAGGGTCATTTATGAATGGTAAAAACAGGGATGGTCCAAGGATCGCTCCTTGAGAAACTCCTGTTCTTGTATCGATCCAGGTTGATCGGATTCTGATTACTTTAGTGCGGAATTCTCTGTCCTCTAAGTATGCTGTAAACCATGCTAGGGGTAATCCAGGAGTTTTCCGCTTTTGTAAGTTCAGCGAGCATGGTGTAGTGTGAGATGCTAGAGAAAGCTCTGGCCAAGTTCAGAAAGATAGCGTGGACCGGTTGTTTGTTGTCTCATTTGATGGTCCAGTCACCCTAAGCGGTCATCAGGTTTGTGGCACATGACCACCCAGTTCTGAAGCCCTGCTGGGTGGGATGAACTATGTAGTTTCCCTTCAGGCACTCCCAA